CTTTCCCTTTCAACTTTCTCATCGACTAATAGGATTAGGGATTTGAGGCTATGCTCAAACCACTGCGGCCTAGTAACGCCCTGGTCCCTCCTCTTTTGGCTTAGTCTCACAGTGGCGCTGTGGCTGCCGGAAGCAGTTCCGCAGTGCTTGCCGGGATCGTGCTGATGTGGTCCCCCCACCTTCCCCCGCCCCGTCCCGGGATGTCGGAAGAAACCCGACAGAGCAAATTGGCTGCGGCCAAGAAAAAGGTAAAACGTGCGGGGTCGCGGCTCCCTGACCCAGCCCGAGACCCCTCCGACGGCCGGGCCATGGCCAGAGTCTGTGCTGCCTTCGAGGCACACGGGGCGAGCCTCTCGGCGCCCCTTGGAGCCCCCCTCCAAAAGTATTCTCAGCCAGTCCCGCCCCCCGGCAGCCCAGCCCCCGCCCTCGCTCGTCACCCCTGGGTGACTTTGGGCCGGTGACCTCGGGGGCTTCCCGCACCAGGCTCGACCCTCGCCTCCTGCCGCCCAGAACCGGACCTCCTGGGTTCCCTGGGCTCCCTAGGCTCCCGGTCTCAAGGACCTCGGTCCTGGCCTTGCGTTCCCCTCCCCCACCGCTGAACAGCTACTCGGGTATCGGTAGGGAGGAGTGGAAAGTAGTTACGTCATAATCCCCCTCCGAACTGTCATTACCGCCACGAGCCCGGTGTTTGATCTTACTATCCAGTCCCCCTGTGTTTTCACATCCTTTCCGGATTCTCTGGTCGCAGCAAAAATTTCCAGCTTGAAGGGGACTTGGGACTATGGGACCTAGGTCCCACCTGGGTTTCAGGCTCCCTCACTCTAGACTGTACCCCATCCTTTGGTGTCGATAGCGTAAAAAGCCAGTGATCCCGAAACATTGACAATATCTCTGGGTGGCAGTGGGGAGAATGTGCTTTGTTTAGTTTGGTTTTCTCCCAGGTTTCTATCCAGAGAGACTTTCACAGTTTTAATCTGAATCTTCCAGCTTACATTCTAATTCGCTATGATTCTGAGACCAGAGTGCCCGTCATTCAGTGCTCCTTTGGAGTGAGATCTGCTTATCCTCTGTGGAACAGATCGCGTG